CCTCTTGGAAGTAGATGGTCTCTATGCTACTATGAACAATAAAATGTGGCAGAAGTGATACTGTTCGAAGTTCCAGACTCCAGCCTTAGGAGACTGGTAGATTCTACCCCCTGCCTCTTGGAACATTCACTCTTTAAGCCCTGGGAGCTCAAGCAGCACAGGAAATCCAACTGCCTGAGGTTGTAATACTGTGAAGAAGCCCAGGCTAAGCCTATAGAAAGGCTGTGTGGAAGAAAGAAAAGAGGGGGAGAGAGATCCAGTCACCCCCAAGCTGTTCAGGCCCCAGCCAGTGAGGCCCCAAACATCACAGAGCAGAGACAAGCTGTCCCCACTGTGTTCCATCCAAATTCCTGAACCAGAGAGTTGTGAATATCCTAATAATCAATGACTGTTTTAAGTCGCTAAGTCTGGGGATAGTTTATTACACAGCAATAGATCACTGAAATACCACACTCTTTTAAGCTTCCCTCGCTACCCAGTTTTCATGCCCTTTGTTCGGTCTGAGAACTGACAAAATATGCACGACAGTCATTAAGGTTGCTAATCATATTCTAGACTTCTCTTCTTCTGAGAAAATAGTAGAAATGCACTTCGCCCTGAGGACAACTATGGCCTGGTGACTTGCTTTTAGACAATGAAAGGTGAACAGAAATGACATGTGTCATTTCCAGACAAAAGCTTAAAGAGCCAAAAGAGGACATTCACTGTGTTCTCTTCCCTCTGATACTACGACCACTGATATCAGTTCCAGATGGTGAAGGTCTACCAACCTGGAGCTCTGAGTAAAGATAGCATGGAGAAAAGCTACGCACAGAATTTTCATCCCACAACCCAAGATATACATACAGTATGAACAAGAAATAAAGATTATTTCAGTCCCTGGGATTTTAATGTGTTTGTGGCTGCAGCATAATCACCATGACTGATAGAATTAACTCCTTTGTCAAGCTAATCTTGACCAAAATGCCCACACATTAGGAGTCCATTTGAACTCCTGGACATTCTGCACACCAGGAAAGAGGTCTCTGTCTCCAAATTAAGCAAATATCTATGTCCATCTTTTTCACATCTATAATCAGAAAAAACATGGAAATCTGTCAACCATCATGGTGGCCACAGAAATGCACCTCACAGACCTCCTACTACAGGGAGCGCTGCTGACCAAGAGCCCCTGCTGCTAAACTCTGTAATGCTCTCCACATTTGCTCTGAGGACACACTTCCCACAGGTTGCTCCCAGCCAGTGACCAAGTGCAGCAGGAGTACTAAAGCAAGTCCACTCCTAGGAGATACAAGCCAGCTCTGATAGCCTTTCTCAGACATTCGGCCAAGACTCCTTCTCTCCCTCTCTTGGGGTCAGACTGGCATTGCACTCTGACAACTCTCCCAACCTTCCATCTTGCTCCCTATTTTCTCTCACACAGGCATTTCCTGAAATAAAATCCTTGCACATTTAATCCTATCTTGGCATCTGCTTCTCTGAGAACCCAGGCTAATAGAACAGTATCAATGAATATGCAGTCTCGAAAATTTAGGTTTGATAAAGTGAACATACAGAGACAACAGAACTAGCTCTTGTTAGATATGGGCTGTCCCATTAATCTGAAGTCATAAATACGCAGTTTTGTGCAAAGTGATATCCATATCTATGGCTAGATCTAATTCCTACATTACTTATATTGATATGGTATCATTTTCTTTAACATAACTTCTGCAAAGTATGATTTAAACCAATGTTTAAAAATTTAATATTTCCAAATGTCCAAAATAGGCTTCCAATCCATTATCCAAAACCTTGGAGACCATGTGTATATTGGAATTCAAAACTTTTAGAAAAGTAATATGTACATCTTACCTGATGTAACATCCCCAGGAGATCTGGGGCAACAACTTGTAATCAAATATATCAACATTTCTTCCACAAAGCATAGAAACATTAACACAAGTGTGTTGAAAGTAAACAGTCTTGAGAGGGTTTGGGTACAATTTGACACCAAATGAGTTTAGCAAAGGTTAGATTGTATGCCAAATGAATTATAAGAAAATATTCAGTTTTCAGGGCTTTTTGAAGTTCAAGTTGTGGATAAGGAATTGTGGACCTGTATGTCTACACTACAGAACATAATACAGCCCTTTGAAAAACACCAGAACGCCTCTGTACTAACACACAAGAATAAATGGCCACCCTACAGTGTTGGATGAAGAAAGCATGTAACATAAGAATTTGCAAAACCAACCTGCAAAGGCAGTATTATTTCATACGCATAAAGAATGGGGAGAGGAAAAGGAGGAGGGGATCTTCACTTGTCAAGCACTCCTACTCTCCACCTTTTATTACCCATAACCCTATGACAACTTCATCTCTGGTTCAGAAGTGCTATGGAAACCTTGCTCATGAGTATTAATTGTGATGTGGGAAAGTATGAATTTATGTATATTATTTATGAGTCAGAGAGAATAGATTTGCCTCTGTAAACTGCCTACACTGATGGCAGATAACTAAAATGTTATGAGTAAGGTAGTGGCTGAGACAGTACACAAAGGAAATTTATTTAGGATACAAAACGAGACTAACCTGTCAAGGCAGTGGGTATGGATTATGAAAAATATGGACAAGAACTTCCAGGAGACCTGAGCCCACACTTCCACGTAACCCTTCCCATATCAAAGGAGAGGAGACAAGAAATAAGATATGACTGCTCCCACTGGGACCTCCTCAAGAAACACCCAATTCTGGACTGCTTTGCTCAGGTGCCTCTGAGTCCCTGTCCTGCCAGTCCTTCCTGTCCTTTCAGCTCCTTCGTTCATCAACCACATAGGGAGCCAAGAACCAGAGGAGAGGTTGTTTACCTTTCCCCACCCCTGCTCACTTCTAACCCTGTTAATTTTAAATGATAAAAACACAAATTTTTTAAAAGATGGAGAACAGAGAAAGAAATTAATTAAGGAGGAAAAAACTCCATCTTTGTTCTAGCCAGCTGCTATACAGCCCTGGGAAAAATTGTCTGCAATGGAAAAAAGTTAAGGAATCTTAATTAGGGCTTAGAAATTCAAATCTAATATAGTAACATTCACTTTTCATTTTATATATTCAGCATTGACTCTTTTTTTACAATAAGCATGTATTAATTTAGTGGTTTTAAAAATCTCATATTTTAATTATGGGCATAATTGAGAATAATACTAGGTAATATATGTTAGGTGCTATATGAGATGTTAGCTATTAATCTCTTATGAACCACAGTCTGGGAAAGTACTAAGTACCAGCACTTTGTTAGCACTTTAACAAACATTCCATTTGTGTGGACCCTCCTATGTCTAAGGTATTGTGCTCAGCACTGGAGATAGCCTGGTGAACAAAACACACATGAACACTGTCCCCAGAAAGGATGCATACCACTGTGGAGACAGACATTAAACAAGCAGTCACACATGTAATGATTCAGTTCCACTTGTGGTAAGCATTATAAAGAAATGCAGAATGACCAGTAAGATCTTCATAATAGCTCTCTAAGGTGGCTCTCGTCTTCAATTATAGATAAAGAGTTATTATTAATGTTTGTAACATTAAAGTATGCTAATTATAATACAAAATATACTGAACAAATAGTAATTACAATAATTATCAGTATTATAATAATGATGGGAAATTAGTTTATGTCAATAGATCAGTGAGGTAAAGGATAGAAATAAATGAGGAAGAAAGTATTAACATGTAAGTGAGCATGTGGATAATTACTGCCAAAGAATTTCTATAGCACTGTTGTATTCCTCTGTAGAGGAAAATTCTTCCAATCCTGGAACAACAAAGTACTGACAAACAGAAGGTCAACCTAGAAACAAATACAAGGTTTGTATTTTCCAAAGCTATGTCCCGTATTTTCCAAGACAGATCTAATTTCACAGACTTGGTCCCTCTGTGCCCATAAACCACTGAAATAACCTGGAAATCCCAGTATTTCGATGTTTAAACCATGTCAAAGATTACCTCTTGAACCTACAAGTAACACAAAAATGCTTGCCAGACCAAGAACTCTGTTCTGGAAAATGTGGCCACTGTGCTCAAAAGGCACTAAATGGTAAGAGATGAACATCTTCCATCAAGACCTGCTTCTCTAAACCAGAAACCCCATCAGCATGGACAGCAAGGCTTCTAAGCTGCCATAATCAGGTATTCTTGGATTCTACAAAATAAGAGCCCATAAAAATGCAACTTCAAGGTATAGAAGGTAGGCAATGTATATATAAAGGTGGGCAATTTCATCAAAACAACAAAGTTGCTCTTTGCTTCTCTTTGCCATAGGTGGTAACTCAAAAAGCTTGACAAAGCTCCTCTGAACTAAACACTGTACAGTATCTTTACTTAGTAAAGAAAAAACTCCTTAAAATTAGAATTCTAGGTCTATAGGTGTCTCCTAACAGCTCACAATGGAAAAGATATCAGCTGATTTATTATACAAAATGAGAGAGTCATAAGGAATTCAGAGTGGTGCTAATGAGACAGCCAACCTTTGATGGGCCCTTAACTTGGGTTCACTTTAATTTTTGCTGTCACAAACTTGTTATAATAAAAAATTATGTTCTATTAAGGAAATAGCAAATCCATGGCACTTGTGCTATCACTGCCCCTTCCATGCCCGCAGCAGTCCTTGCATTCTGTGACAGACACAGCTTCCTTCAGAGAACAGCTCACCAAAGAGTTCCAAGCAGCCGCCTCCCGTGAACTGAAGCATAGAGTCAGAGTCTATTTGCCAATTCTCCTTTACACTGACTGCCCTGCTTGACAGTCACAATATTGTATTCTACCAAATGAAGCCCATGGGACTTCAGCTACAGCCATTATTAAGACCTGTGTTTGATATTGTTAAGAAATATGGATGGAATGATGAGACAAATAAGGCTGAAGCCACCATCAAATCAATTACACTGTGTTTACCCTCCTCAGTTTCCATCAGTTGTACTATATAAACAGACAGAAAATTACATGAGCCAATCACTGACCTTATGGAGAGCAGGAGCCAAGACTGGTACCAAGAACCCATTGTAAATGTAATTGACAAGCTGACGGCGAATCAAGGGGTGAGCCACCTAAGAGAGAAACACACAGTCATGAAAAAGATGAATCAACCAAATCGATCAATCTTCAGGTCTTCTTAAAATCACACATTTCTGTGTACACTCCAGATTCAAAAGAAAATCATATTTGGGACATTTATTTCATGGTTAAAGAGTAATTCATCCTCATACTGCCATGTAATTTTTTCAAATGCTTTATTCCAATACAAACAGGTTGGCTAAAATTAGGAGAAGTTAAACTTACAAATTAAAAAATTGGAAATTTTAAAGTGACTGTTTGAAAAAAAATACAATAAATAGAACATGTAGAAGGATTCGTATATTAAAATTAACAAACTGAGAAGAATAATTTTTGCCCCTTAACTTATTCTAGGTCACATCTCAACTTGTGACTAATTTTTTTTTTAAAAGCATATAACTATCAAAATAGACCATTGAATACATTTCTTTTGGTAGCAGAAAGAATTTTCTCATTTTGAAGATGCATTTTTCTGATAGTCATTTATATTGGGGAGGAAAGCATTTGGAAAATCTTTTCTTAAAAAACAGATAACGTTCAAAAGCAGAAAACATTATCAGAGGTACACTTCCTATATTTGATTTCCAAAAGATATTTAGCATAGATAACCCTTTACTAATTTCTTTTGTAAGTAACCTTTTCGGTAATCCCCCCAAACAAAAAAAATCTTAAAATTATATGGTTTCAATTTCAAAATATAGTATGAAATATATAATTTCTCTGTGCTTAACCATGCCTGTTAGTTTTACTTCTTTTTCTTAAAAAGAAAAAAAATTGAAGTAAAACAATAAGTAAAAAGCAATTTCTAGGGAAGTGAGACTAGATCTTGAAATTACTGATAATCCCTCTCTGTGTATACATTTGGGGAGGAACTAACAGTAGTTCCATCTTTTTAATTTCCACACAATTCTGCAAGAAAATGTTGATAGACTGCAATATTAAAGGAAAAAATAACTTAAAATGTAATCTATTTATCTTATATATAAATAAAACTTCCTTTGACTTAGCAATAAAAATGAGATGGGACCTAAAGTAATTTACTTGTATTTTCTTCCAGAAGCTATTTCTTTATTTGGTAGATAAACAGATTATAACTAACATTTTTCATCCTACAATCACCATAAAGAAAACTTGATTTCTTAATAAATCCAATATTAAGGTATATTTATGCTATATAGAAGTAAAACATTTTTGATGAAAACCTATTACGTCCTTAAATATAAATTTTTTATTGAAAACAGTAACAAGAAATCTAAAGGTAAAAATCTAATCAAAAAGCCAAATACACAAGAGTTCAGTGGTTGTTTTTTTCCCCCAAGCAGGCCAATTTCAAAGCAAATTTAATTTGTGTTGTTAAGAAGATGCTTAACTTCTTCTAAATTCAATTGGGATAACAATATTCTTTATGTAGTATGCACCATTAAGCAAAATAAAGTGTTTTTCTTTGTAGACTCCCTAGAAGACCTTGAAGTAAAAGTGGTATAATATAAAGTATTTAGAAACCTAAAAATATCTATTTAATGAGTTAGGCATTGAACTTATTTTTGATGGTTAAGTGGATAATCAAAACAGAATACTTTATAAAAAAGATAAAGAAAATCTATTCTTTTTTTCCTCAATTAAAACTTCCCTGCAACCTACAAACTAACATTTTCCTTCATTCGGTGGGCTTAAAGCATCAACATTCCATAAACATCTGTTAAAATAAAGAGTGAACGTTCATAAACTAATCCTTTGCGATGCTTGTGCTCTGAATGGAACCAGGGATTCCAGGATTCAAGGATCAAAGGGATCCTTGAATGTGCTCTGGTACCTGGATGACTGCATTGCAAAACTCCAGGGAGTTCATGAACTGGACGAGAGAAGGGAGTAGAAGCCAGTCGTCTTTCAGAAGGCAGTGCCATTCCTCGCCTTTCTCTTCTAGCTTTGTAGGCAGGGAAGAGTAGAGACCACTGAGCCCAGTTGCAAGTACCTGTGTTCAGAAATAAAAATGTAATTAACTCTTTCCCAAATTTCTTAACGGGCACCTAACAGCTCACAGGTGATACCAATGCTGCTACTCCCAAGACTGTACTTTAAGTAGCAAGGTATTAAAGATATCAGCTAGCTAGCTAGGAAGGATTCAGCAGGTGGAGAAAGTAGGGAAGAACAACTCCAGCAGAGGGAACAGCAGCACCAGAGCCATTTGGCTAACATACACACGGTTAATAAGAATGGCTCAACTCTTACGTGCTGGGCACTACACTGGCCTGGGGTCAGGGGAGTAAAAAAGGTACACACACAGATGAATAAAACATGATTCCAGCCGGGCGTGGTGGCTCACGCCTGTAATCCTAGCACTCTGGGAGGCTGAGGCGGGCGGATTACTCAAGGTCAGGAGTTCGAAACCAGCCTGAGCGAGACCCCGTCTCTACCAAAAATAGAAATAAATTAATTGACCGACTAAAAATATATATACAAAAAATTAGCCGGGCATGGTGGCGCATGCCTGTAGTCCCAGCTACTCGGGAGGCTGAGGCAGTAGGATCGCTGAGCCCCGGAGATTGAGGTTGCTGTGAGCTAGGCTGACGCCAGGGCACTCACTCTAGCCTGGGCAACAAAGTGAGACTCTGTCTCAGAAAAAAAAAAAAAAAAACATGATTCCAGCCACAAGAAATTCAAGAGAACAACAAATTCAAAAACAATACATTATAATACAATGCACCGACTGCAAACACAAAGTACATACCCCAGCCTATAGGAAGAAGCCCTGGATTGAGGTGGTCCTGGACAGGTCACAATGATAGGAACCATGAGGAGCTTCATGAGAAAGACTCTTTGCAATTCCTTGCATGTTTAAAGTCTCGACTGGCAGACGCATGTTTACAGTTTAGAAAGCACTTTCATATATGTTATCTCATCTGATCTTCACAAACAATAGCAAGGAGAAAGAACTGGGGGGCAGGGGACAGTTAAGATGTGATGACAAGAGTTCAAACAGAGCTAAAGTGGGTCTACACTGAGGCATCATCAATAGAAAAAAGAGAGTAGAGAATAAATTTGAGCATCGCATGGAAGGTGGGTGTAAGGGTGACCTAACCATGACATCTGTCAGTCCAGTGTTAATTCAAAGCTTCCTCCCTCAGCATTAAACTGCCAGCACTGGGCTTGAGAAGTGGGATGAGTGAGAACTCAAAACTATCAAGTTATCCAACTTGGTCATTAAGAAGATGGTGATGATGCCTTTAATTAAGATAGAAATGTAGGAAAGGAAAACAGTTAATGCTGAGCGCTTGTTGATTTTACCTGTGGAACATAAATAAGACCAGGTAAAACAATGAATTTCACATTGGAGGCCTCCCAGCTGGGAAGAGATGCTAGCTAAGCAGCATCTTAGAGACCCTGACTTGGCAGATGTGCACAGGACGGGCAGGGACAGCACAGACTGGATGCAAGGAAGTCAGGTACTGCCCTAGAGCACATTCTGAGGTAACAATGACCTCAAATGGGATGGAAATATTTAAGAAAACATAACAAATTAGGCCCAGAAAAGAAGTAGCGACACACTCATCCATCTCATGGTCTAATGAGAGATGAACAGGCAATTATAACTGTTAGAAATACTCAGAATACACAACAGAAAAGATAAGGTGCTATGGGTGTACAAAAGACTCGTAACCCAGACTTGAGGGGTTGGCAGTAGGAAATGTTTTCAGAAAAAGTGATGTCTAAGGTACTGAAAAATTCAAAGGAATCAGCCACAAAAAAAGTGGTGGAAGGAAGGATATTCCAAGCAGAGGAAACAGCATGTACGAAAGCTCAAAGAAGAAAGAAAAGGTGGTATCTCCTCCAGGAACTAAGAGAAGTACAGTACTCTTCAAGCATAGAATTATAGGTGGAAAGAGGCCAGCAAGGTAAATAGGAAGCAAATCCTGCAAAGTGTTCTAGGCCAGGATGCAGAGCTTGTGGGGCATCAAAATGGAGAGCCCGGTAGACAGATACGTGGGTCTTATGCTTAGGAGAGAGCTCTGGGCCAGAGATGGAGATCTAGAGCCATCTATATGTAGATGGTTCCTCAAGCCTTACAAACCAGAGAGAGAAGGAGGAAAGAGAGAATTAGACCTATGAGACATGACAAAATAATCTACAGTGCCAGGCATCAGAAACAGAAAGTCAGAAGGAGGTGTGGGTCCAGGTATGTTAAACTTGAAAAAAAATTATCTACAAACCTATTGCTGCCTCTCCTTTTCCCTTGTCCTGTTCCTACAGCACTCCATGCATCCCTCTGTGTAGCAATCATCCTTCCTACATCCATTAGTTTATTGCCTGTCTTCTCCATCTCACTTGGTCTGACTCATTCCCTCCTGTCCATATGAGGTATGGGAGATTTGTCTGGTCAGGTATGTTGAGTTTCAGACACTGGCAGTACTCCCCATGAGTAACATACCCAACTCAATCAACAGAACACAGGCCAGGAGAGGTCTTAGCACAGAGACACCAGATGAAGCCACAGGAGGGTCTACGAGGGGTGGGCGAGATGCTGTAGGAACCCACAGTGAAGTATAAAGGGCAGGGAGAGAAAAGACAAACTATTTTGGTACTGGAGAAAAAGATTGTGTACATTTCTCTGTTCTATTTCCTGATAACCTTTATTCACTCATTCATTCACTCCCTAAAAAAATTACTGAGCACTTACTTCAGACCAGGTACTTTGCTAAGTATAGGAAATACAATAGTAAGCAAGATAGTACATTTATCTGTTTCAAAATCAGGGCTTCTGCAGTCCCAAAGGAGAATGCCCCCTATTTAAAGTATTTAATTCCTTGTCAACATACCCAAACCACTTTAATTCCAGTTTTGAATGTGACCCAAATGAGTTGCTTGTTACAAATTAGAAACTTATGGCAAAAGAGAACAGAGACCAAAAGTTCTCCTTGAAGAGAAATCTAATCTTGACACCACATTTTTAAAATCAATTACATTTGCTAACTCATGCTAAATTAACCACAGAACAAAGGCTTTAATTCTGCATACTCCTGATTTCTTAACCACTTTGAGACTTTGAAGATGAATTCATAAAGACAGGCTTAATTTGTCTGACTAAAAAGCTGGGAATAACTATTCAGTATATCAATATAATTACAGCAACATTAATTTCCAAATTACATACATCAGCGACAGTAATTAAAAATAACACATACCTAATATTCACTTTTTTAAATGAGTATTCTAAAAAAAGGCATGGCTGAGATGCAAACAGAAGGCTGCCCATACAGAAGGATCCTGCCTGTACAGAGAATACTCCTATACAGAAGGATCCTGCCTGTACAGAGCAATACCCTATACAGAAGGATCCTGCCTGTACAGAGGATACTCCTATACAGAAGGATCCTGCCTGTACAGAGGATACTCCTATACAGAAGGATCCTGCCTGTACAGAGGATACTCCCTATACAGAAGGATCCTGCCTGTACAGAGGATACTCCCTATACAGAAGAGATCCTGCCTGTACAGAGGATACTCCCTATACAGAAGGATCCTGCCTGTACAGAGGATACTCCCTATACAGAAGGATCCTGCTGTAAGAGGATACCTATACAGAAGGATCCTGCTGTACAGAGGATACTCCCTATACAGAAGGATCCTGCCTGTACAGAGGATACTCCCTATACAGAAGGATCCTGCCTACAGAGATACTCCTTACAGAGGATCCTGCTGTACAGAGGATACTCCTATACAGAAGGATCCTGCCTGTACAGAGGATACTCCTGTCATACAGAAGGATCCTGCCTGTACAGAGGATACTCCTATACAGAAGGATCCTGCCTGTACAGAGGATACTCCTATACAGAAGGATCCTGCCTGTACAGAGGATACTCCCTATAACAGAAGGTCCTGCCTGTACAGAGGATACTCCTATACAGAAGGATCCTGCCTGTCTACAGAGGATACTCCTATACAGAAGGATCCTGCCTGTACAGAGGATACTCCTATACAGAAGGATCCTGCCTGTACAGAGGATACTCCTATACAGAAGGATCCTGCCTGTACAGAGGATACTCCTATACAGAAGGATCCTGCCTGTACAGAGGATACTCCTATACAGAAGGATCCTGCCTGTACAGAGGATACTCCTATACGAAGGATCCTGCCTGTACAGAGGATACTCCTATACAGAAGGATCCTGCCTGTACAAGGATACTCCTATACAGAAGGATCCTGCCTTACGAGAGTACACTCCTATACAGAAGGATCTGCCTGACAGAGGATACTCCTATACAGAAGTGATCCTGCCTGTACAGAGATCTAAAGAAGAATCTGCCTGTACGAATTCTCCATCAGAAGGATCCTGCTGTACAAGATACTCCTATGACAGAAGGTATCCTGCCTGTACACGAGGATACTCCTATACAGAAGGATCCTGCCTGTAAGAGATACTCTATACAGAAGATCTTGCCTGTACAGAGGATACTCTATACAGAAAGGATCCTGCCTGTACAGAGGATACTCCTATACGAAGGATCCTGCCCTGTACAGAGATACTCCTATACAGAAGGATCCTGCCTGTACAGAGGATACTCCTATACAGAAGATCCTGCTGAAGAGGATACTCCTATACAGAAGGATCCTGCCTGTACAGAAGTATCCTTCATGAAGGATCTGCTGTACAGAGGATACTCCCTATAAGATAAGATCCCTGCCTGTAACATGAGGATTACTCCTAACAGAAGATCCTGCCTTGTACAGAGGATCTCTATAAGAAGATCCTGCTGTACAGAGATACCCCCTATACAGAAGGATCCTGCCTGTCAGAGATACTCCTATACAGAAGGATCCTGCCGCTTACAAGGATAGGCTCCTATACAGCAGGATCTGCCTGTACAGAGGATATCTCCCTCATACAGAAGTCTGCCTGTCAGAGGATACTCCATATCCAAAGGATCCTGCCTGTACAGCAGGATACTCCTATACAGAAGGATACTCTGTATACAG